GTTATATAATTTCATATACATAATTTGATTTAATAACCAAATTTGAAGCAAAAACAGAATGTTCTGACTAGCTTTGTGAAATTATACTACATGCCTGAATGAAACAAACAGCAGAAGCTCTGAATGAGACGCAGATTCACTCTCTGACAGCAGGAGGCGCTCATGGAACACCAGATACAGCGTTTCCTTGGTTACCGCTGTAAACAAAGCAGCGCTGCGCTAAAACACTGCTTTAATATGAACTATAGAGACGAGATGAAAAGAAAATACCACGTAAAAGTGTTTCTGAAGACAGTCAGTTCCCCTCAGAAACACATTCATATTGAACCCCCAAATCAATATTTGAGGATTTTCTTCCAATAGTTCGTGCATCATGAACAGTGAGTGATCTGCCTGCTACAGTATTTTTCTCTGTGTGTCCGTCTTCAACGTCTCTGGCCTGTGTTAACGGGCGTTTACAGACTTCATATTTTCACATAAATGACATTTTGGAAAACGATTGCATTGCAACGCAGTTTGTGCAAGTCCAGAACAGAGACGAGTTGCTTGCAATAAGACAAAAAACGTCCGGTTGCCGATCGCGTAAGTTCCAGGGGAAGCCATCCTACACACACGTGACTGAACGCTCGCTCGCACCAACAGGAGGAGGAGGGTCATGTTAAGGCTTGTTCACATCGGGACGAAAATCGCGCACGATTATCGCCGGCATTTAACGCCTCGTGACTAAACAAAGGGCGCCAAAACGCGAGGTGTAAAAGCGTAATTTTTTTTAAAACGCCTCGGGCTCGTTTTTTTTGGTTTGACGCACGCGTTAAAAACTGGCCGACCAATGAAATTGGCGCTTTTGTTCACGTGCCTGCAGCTGCTGAAGTTACAGTAACACGACTTGGTGGCGCTCAAGCACAAAACGGTCTTGCTGAGCACACATTGATACCTAACGACAAAGAGGAAGTAAGTAGACCAAGAAGATGCATCGAGGCAAGATGAATGTAGAGCTGCTGGTCTCATTGGTGTCTGAACACAAAGGGCTTTATGACAAACGCAACAGCGACTACAAAAATCTCGATAAGAGGGAGTTGTTATGGAGAGGAATTGCAGATCAAATAGGATTCGATGTGTACCGGGGTATTTCTGTTTTTCATTAAGCGCCATCTAATGTCAGGGAGTGAATTTGCACGTTCACTCGGCTCATCACTTGCGAAAATCGCTTGGGTATGAACACAAAAGACTCGTCGAAAAACATCGGCGATAAGTGCGCGCGATAATCGTCCCGGTGTGTACGAGGCTTTACTCTCTACACTGCACTCAGCCTGAGGGATTCCTACACTTTCAATCTTTGAGGAGGACATGAAAAACAGCGCATACCGCAGGAACGGTATAATGGAAAATATTAGCGGTTTTGAAACCATGACATTTTCAAATCACGGTATACCTTGAAACCGGTAATCGGCCCATGCCTAAGCCAGACCCAAACCTGAGTCACCTGCATTAGCATTATTAATGTGCTAAACACTGATTACATTCTTCATATGTTCGTCTTTAGTGTTCCATGCTAGAAAGAAAGTCATACAGGTTTGGAACGACATGAGGGAGAGTAAATTTTTGGGTGAACTATCACTTTAATGCTATTTTAGTATTTTTCTCTCAGCATTATACAACAGTTTTGAGTGTGTGTGATCTCTCAGCTCCTGAATCTTGATCAGTACTGAACCTGTGCGCAGGGGTCCATGGGAATTCTGTGCTGAGAGCAGATGACAGCTGTGATGCCCGTCTCTTTCCTTTAATACTCACTAAAAAAGAGAAATGGATCAAGGAGAGAGTATAAAGAGACAGATCAATTTTTCATGAGAGCTGGGTTATGAGCAACCGCAAAATCTCTTCTGTGCTCAAAGTTTGCCATGCTGTAGCAGACAGACAGGACAGTTATTATAGAAATCCCAAAAGTATTTTGCTTGTCGCAGAGAGAGCTGGTAGTGATATCCCTGTTTCAGTGAATTATTTAAAGATGACGTCAATGTCTGTGGGACCAAACACAGTCTAACCTGTCAAACCACATTTAAAAGGATAGTTTACCTGAAAACAACAGTTCTGTCATCATTTACTCACCTTTAGATTGTTTTAAGCCTGTATGACTTTTTTTGTCTTTGAAATTTCACCCTTTTCTATGTAACATTTTAAGCAACCTATGGGTTTTTTCAACAACAAGAGTGAGTAATAATGGCAGAACTTTAATATTTTCAATGAATTATTGCCTTAAAAGGTTAATTTTGTGTATTTTCATACACTACTGTTCAAAAGTTTCCTTCTAGTAGGTTTTATTAATTTTTTTTTAAATACATTGATGCCTCTATTCAGCTGGGATGCATTAAATTGATCAGAAATTACAGTAAGGACTTGCAATGTTACAAATGATATCTTAATATAAATAATGTTCCTTTGAACTTTCAATTTATCAGAGAATCCCAGGAAATGTGTGTCCCAGTTTACACTGTAGATATTAAGCAGCACAACTGTTTTCAACATGGATAATAATAATAAATGTTCCAAATCGCCATTAGAGTGATTTCTGAAAGTTCACGTGACACTAAAATGGAGTAATGGCTGCTGAAAATTCAGTTTTGCTTCACAGGAATAAATTACATTTTAAAATATATTAAAACAGAAACAATTATTTTAAATTGCAATAATATTTCACAATATTTGTTTTTACTGTATTTTTAATCAAATGAATGCAACCTTTTTGAGCATAAAATCTTTTCAAAAAAGAAAAAAAAAACTTACAGACCCCAAACTTTTGAAAAGTGTATGTACATCTTTTATATAATCTTATTTGTTTCTGAGTGTTTATTATTATATTTAGATAAAATCTTAGCTGTTTCAGAGAAACAGATATCTTGAGGAGACTCTAATGTTCCTTTTAAGAGTGTAAGTTTCCTCCGTTAAAACTACAGCTGTGCTGTAATAGTGTTGCAATCACTGAAGTGTTGGAATGGAGGGAGGAGAGAGAGAGAAATATGTGTGTACTGAGCGACCTACAGTGATGAGTCACATCCTGCAACTTTCAGCTATCTGTCTGCTTTTCATTAGAGCTGCTCAATATCCACACCACCACAAAAGCCCATGGTCATTACCTTCATGACGGACTCAAACGGAGGTGGCAAACACTACAAACTTTCCCTCACGTCTCGCTTCATGATCACAAAACATCCCCTACTTAATGCACATTAGAGTTTTCATAAACACCTAATAAGGGTAAACTCAGCAACATACACCCAAATATGTCATATATTCTCTGTCTCTGGGATTTGCAGTTGACAGCATGTGGTTTGTTTAAACACTTGTGCAGAGAGGAAGATAGGATTGAGCTAATCCTGGAGATTACTTTCACTCCGCGAGGATTGCAGGTGTCTCAATCTTTTCTAAATCAGACACCTGGAATACAATCCCCTGGATTAGATTATTGTACTATACTTCTCATTTCTTCTTTACCTCAATATGTATTATTTTATTTCGTTGTGATTTAATCAAAGTCAACTTTATTGTCATTTTAAGCACATCACATGACAATTGATAAAAACAATTATGTGTGTATATGTGCACACGAAGACAGCATGTATTTAAAAAAAAAACTGTAAATATTACAACATTAACCATTTGTTATATTGTTAACAGTAAATGCTATGTTAATATATTTAAAAATGTAATTTTTTCCTGTGTTGGCAAAGCTCAGTTACTCCAGTCCATTACTCCAATATTCAGTGTCACATGATCCTTCAGAAATTATTCTAATGTTGATTTGATGGTTAAAAACATCAACGTTGTTATTATTATCAATGTTGAACAGTTGTGCTGCATAATATTCTTGTATAATATATGTGTAAGTATATATGTGTATATGAATGTATAAATGTATTAAAGTTTCCACAGCCACAAGATTAATAGACGTAGGTAGGTAGGTAGATAGATAGATAGATAGATAGATAGATAGATTCTTCCATCAGTTGTCCATCCATTTTTATAATAATGTTAGATTTTACATTACTTTGTAATTCAAGTCAGTATGAAATTAAAATTGACTATACAGTAGATATAAAAATAATGATAATATATGTGTCCATTGTTCCAAAAAAAAGTCTAATCAAAACTTGCTCCGGGGTCTGAAATTACTTTCCTTTTGGAACACCTACTTTTAATGATCTAATCATTTCATAATGAATACAATTAGGTCCTGCCCTATTTTTTTCTAACTGAATATTAAGATTGAAACAGAAATATTTCACTCTACAGGAGTAAAATAAGATGCTGTACAAATGCTGTGTACAAGCTGGCAGTGTGTGCCTGTGTAAATATTACAGAAATCCAAAGTTCTATCATGAAACTCTAGATGGTGCAGTCCGATCTAGACAGGTCTAACTCAATCTGACATAATGACATTATTCACATGGCAAAGCTGATTGGTTCTTTTTGTATCAGCAGCCAATGAGCTTGCTGCTCAACATTCAAATACTTGGCTAGTTCTTGCTGTAGCAGTTGCAGCACACTTCAGAAACCCTCCACCTTCCCCAGCTCCACCTGTATAGATCTGCTATGGGATGATCCATATATGCTACCTATGGGGGTTTTCATATATGTTATATGTGCAGCAGCAGTATTTCTTATATGCTCACAGCAGCATGTTGTGGATGTATTAGCAGTATCAAGTCTCTACCTGCTATGCCGCAGCAGATCTACTCTGCCAAGACCAAACACATTAACATTGTCATGTACATTACCATACCAAACCCTTCGAGGGTTGTCATGATAGAACTAATTTTGTACAGTTTTTAAGTGCATTCTAATCAAGGATTCATTTACTGGAGGGCTGTTCTGTGGATAATAGAAAGCCCAACTCAAGTAGCTCTAAATACAAATGTGTGCTGTTCGAATTGATTTAATTAAGATGTTTTAGAAGTCCAAATGGAATTGATGAGAAGGCTTTCAGTTGATCGTTTTTTTTTTAGGTCATGTCCCAGGCAGAAGGCCAACAGAAGAACCTGGTGAATTCCATCGAGTCGTTGCCGAGCCGCGGGCCGCTGTCCTCCCTGGACCAGGACCTGCTCCTGCTCAAAGCCACGTCTGCAGCCACACTCAGCTGTCTGGGAGAATGCCTGAGTATCCTTCAGCACAACGTGTGCCAGGCGGCCCAACACATCACCCACAGCCACATGCAGGGATCGAATACAGGCAAGAATATGGCACTGTCTGTCTCTTCTGAAATGTGTGATGTGTGTTAGTGCGGTGTGCCAAAATGTGTCCTCTTGTTACATCACATAATATTATTGTTTGATTTATAGCAAACATAATTTGAAGCTCAATGTCCACAAATTTTCTTAATGGTGAATTTTTTAATTAATTTTAATTGCTGTGTAAGATAACAGATATCATCCTGTGTGCAGATAACGTCTCTAATTGGTCAAGGCCCAAAACCGCCTCAGAAGGCCATGTGAAGATTGGAGAATTGACACATAACAACACCTCAACTAGACATCAGCCCCACTCTCCACTTCACAGGAACAATGAACGGCTCAAAGACACAGAGGTACTCACAAACACACATATATTATGTTTTTTCTAACATCTTTTACATTCTATATAGCAGTTGCCACTGTAGATAGCAGTACTATTTTATTTAATTTATTTTACTTTACATTTTATTAAATATTTTCTTTATTTTTTCTTTTCTTTTAATTTAATTTAATTTAATTTAATTTGTATTTAATTTATTTTTAATTTAATTTTTCTATTCTATTCTATTCTATTCCTTGCTTGAAATTTGATCAATTGCTGTCACTTTTGGACAATGTTACTGCATATTGCATACTGCATATTAGTAGTAACTAAATATGCAGTTACTGCATATTTATTTGGTCTCGTATATGATCTCGTTTCATTTTATTTTGTCACAGAGGTACTCAGAAATGCAGATATATTATGTTTTTTCATAACATTTTATTTTATTTTAATTTATTTTACTTTACATTTTATTTTATTATTTATTTATTTTAATGTTATTTTTTATTTAATTTAATTAAATTTTTTATTGAATTTATTTTTATTGAATTATTCTATTCTATTCTATTCTATTCTATTCTATTCTATTCCCTGCCTGAAATTTTATTCATTGCTGTCACTGTTGGACAATGTTACTACATAGTTTATATATTATTTCTGAGTATCCTTCAGCACAACGTGTGCCAGGCGGCCCAACACATCACCCACAGCCACATGCAGGGATCGAATACAGGCAAGAATATGGCACTGTCTGTCTCTTCTGAAATGTGTGATGTGTGTTAGTGCGGTGTGCCAAAATGTGTCCTCTTGTTACATCACATAATATTATTGTTTGATTTATAGCAAACATAATTTGAAGCTCAATGTCCACAAATTTTCTTAATGGTGAATTTTTTAATTAATTTTAATTGCTGTGTAAGATAACAGATATCATCCTGTGTGCAGATAACGTCTCTAATTGGTCAAGGCCCAAAACCGCCTCAGAAGGCCATGTGAAGATTGGAGAATTGACACATAACAACACCTCAACTAGACATCAGCCCCACTCTCCACTTCACAGGAACAATGAACGGCTCAAAGACACAGAGGTACTCACAAACACACATATATTATGTTTTTTCTAACATCTTTTACATTCTATATAGCAGTTGCCACTGTAGATAGCAGTACTATTTTATTTAATTTATTTTACTTTACATTTTATTAAATATTTTCTTTATTTTTTCTTTTCTTTTAATTTAATTTAATTTAATTTAATTTGTATTTAATTTATTTTTAATTTAATTTTTCTATTCTATTCTATTCTATTCCTTGCTTGAAATTTGATCAATTGCTGTCACTTTTGGACAATGTTACTGCATATTGCATACTGCATATTAGTAGTAACTAAATATGCAGTTACTGCATATTTATTTGGTCTCGTATATGATCTCGTTTCATTTTATTTTGTCACAGAGGTACTCAGAAATGCAGATATATTATGTTTTTTCATAACATTTTATTTTATTTTAATTTATTTTACTTTACATTTTATTTTATTATTTATTTATTTTAATGTTATTTTTTATTTAATTTAATTAAATTTTTTATTGAATTTATTTTTATTGAATTATTCTATTCTATTCTATTCTATTCTATTCTATTCTATTCCCTGCCTGAAATTTTATTCATTGCTGTCACTGTTGGACAATGTTACTACATAGTTTATATATTATTTGTCCTCGTATATGATCTTGTATTTCATTTTATTAGGTCACAGAGGTACTCAGAAATGCAGATATATTATGTTTTATATCTATGACACTTTCTGAAAATGTATCTGTTACTGTCACTGTTGGACAGCATTACTTTAGAAAAATTAGTACTTTAGACATTATGTGGTCTTGGATTTCATTTTACTTTGTTTTTGCAATAGACTTCTCATCCAAATTTCTGAGGCGGCACTTTCACCCTCGCCTCCTCAAAGAAACGCCCCTGCAATATAGTCATCATTACACCCATCATTATCATTCTGAAACTGGCAGCTCTGTGACAAGCTACTTATCACTTTAAAAGGGAGATGATCTTTCAAGGGTAAAATCTGTCACCGGGATCCGTTCAGTTTTCTGATAATAGCCCAAAAAATCAGAATGGTCTCTGACTCATTTAAAGTCTCCCGTAGAGTAGACACGTCTTTGAAAAGTTTCAAATATGTGTCTGTGCTATTGTGCGTGCGCCTGCCAGGCTTCTACAGTGAAGGATTGGAAGAGGAGCACTAATTGGACGTGTTCTAGTTTTAGCATCTGTGGCCGGGTGACTGAGGATACCCACAATCCCTCTGGTGCCCTGAATGAGTCAGTCGTCCCTCTTGGAAACCTTTTATCCGCCTGCGCTTCTCTGGGCTGCTGTTTCTTGGACGCAAGCGTGTGCAACTGTTTGTTTGCACACACACGGTGGCGTATGTATAAATACACGTTAATTTGTGTGTGCGCGTATGCCTGAAGGGAGCTAATTCATTTTGCGGTTGCTTTGTGTGTGCTTGTCATTAAATCGGCTCCCTGTGAGGACGAACATGCTCCCAGAATGCAGCAGACAGAATCTGTGCTACAAATTCGTTTTTTCTCTGATATACTCGCGATAATGTATCTAATTAATTTAACGTTGTGACTCATACCATTAAACCTTTAAATGACTCAGTTCGCACTGTTGAAAATCAAGAAGGTGATGATGACATGATGCTGAAGTGTAAAGCAAATGCATGGCACATGTGTTCTTCAGTTATTTTAAGGTGCGTCCAGCACCGAATGCAATTTTAACAGACGCAACATCAGCATCGACTGCATGGCTCATGGATTATCTGGGCATGAAACTGTGCCAGCGCAGACTGTATCTGTGGTCTGAAATGAGTTTGTATGAGCTCCATCAATCAATCCCATCATACTGCATTTGAGATCCGGCTGCAGGCGCCTCCTTTTTCGGGAGTGCAGTGTGTTGCTGTATGGATTCTGTGTGGCACAGTGGATTGTGGCCACGTCACGCAGGAGTGCTCTGGTGATCTTTTATCACACTGTGTGTATTGTAGCCCTGGAGATACATAATTATCTGAAGCTTTCGCGCTGCGTAATGTTATTGCCAGCTGCAAAAAGCCACTTCAGCTGCTGTGGGAATTAAAGGAATAGTTCATCTACAAATGAAAAGCTGGTCATCATTTACTCACCCTTATTTCGTTCCAAACGAAAATCCTGGTTGCTGTTTTCAATATGTGAAAGAGCTTAAAAGAAAGACTTAAAGTAGCATTGAAGTAGTCTATATGAATTGTAAACAATAAATGAAAATTCAGTCATTAATTACTCGCCCTCATGTCGTTCCAAACGCGTAAGACCTTCGCTCATCTTCGGAACACAAATTAAGATATTTTTGATGAAATCCAAGAGCTTTTTGACCCTGCAGACAGCAACGCAACTACTATGTTTAAGGCCCAAAAAGGTAGTAAGGGCACCAATAAAATAGTCCACGTGACATCAGTGGTTCAACCGTATTATACACTAATATGCTATTTACATTAACTCCACCCACCAGCGTGTGCTTGGGCTAGACAAGACTACAAAAAACACCTGGTAAACAGCAGCTGCAGTGGCATAGGTAGTAAAGTGCGTAGCAGTAACTTTTTGATGCGATGAACCCGAGTTTGAATCCGCCTTTTGCCAAACTTGTTCTTCTCCATTTTTTCATCACACATCATATCGGAAAGGTATTTATTTTCAATAAAAAATAAGTAGATAATCAAAAAGCATACTGTTTTATAATGTACTACAATACTGAGGTGCAAATATCTGCCACTTTACACTAAGAAGTATAAATAGCATCTAACTACTATTTACACTTATTGCAAAGAAAATACTGCTATTTTTGCATAGTACTAATAGAATCTATCACTATTTATATGTAGTGTAAATAGCATCAATTAGCTGCTGCCAAAGTTATTTTTGGATGAACTGTCATTATTCACTGAAAAAAAAAATGACATCCACCCTAGCTCTCAATTCTCACACTGTTTACAAATGAACCATTCTTTTGAGTGAATTGTTTGATATAGTTTACAAAACAGTTCTGAATGATTTGTTAACAAATCAGACTGATCCAATTCTTGGGTTCAACTCTCTGTATAATGGGTAACAACCCGTTGGAGGGGAAAGTTATCCATGAATAACAACTTAAATTTTAGTCTTTTCATGGCACGCATTATAGCATGCACCTCTTGTGGATCACTTACAGTATATCAGGGTTTCCCAAGCTGGGGTTTGTGAGTTTATAATTATAAAAGCTTATAATTAATTTTAAAAAAAATATATATATACAGTAAATAATAAAAAAAGAAGATTAGGTCATGTGCATGTCGTGACCATTAACAAACATCAGAAAAAGATGAAAATGAAAATCTGTCGATATGGTTTGTTTCAAGCTAATATTTTAGGTCATCCCTGATTTATATGAAGCTTCCCCTTATATGAAATTTCCCCATTGTATTTGAAATGAGAGCAAATTATGACATAATACTCATGTTCCGATATTTTATTTTGTATTTAATTTTTAATTAAAGCAATCCAGTTCTGTTATATGAGCAGTTGCCTGGAACTAACTGCTGTATAACATTTATAATACATTGACCTTGACCTAGCAAGTGGAATATTTATTTAAATTTATATTTTAGAATTCCAATCTTGTTATTAAAGCAGACTCATCAGAATGCATCATTACTTATTCTGAACAAGTTTGGGATATTGTAATTAATTTTGACAGACAGGGCCATGGGTCGATGGCGTAGCTACTCACCCGATGAGAAACGCCTGGCCGGTGGTTCAGCCGTAACAGTTTAAAATTCACGGGGATTGCTCAAGGATCGGGGGAACACAACAAATGATTAGCCAAGTGATTTATTCAGCAGCCGTCCCAGTGATTCTTCTTGTCTGAATGCAGAAACAGTGAGACAAGCTGTAAAACAACAGTGCTGCTCGAGAGGTTATAAATCTTGGCTGCGCTGCGGACTGG